CACCCATTTCGTGGCTAAAACACAGTTCGAACAAGAAAGTCCAAGGCAGTAAATTGCAGGATTGGTTAACATCTGGGTAAAACCTACCTAATAAGAAAGTCCAATAAAAAGGACCGGGGGGGGGGGGGGGGCACAGGCAACTAAGGCCTAATATCTATTTTTACCGTGTTTTCCCCCAAAATAAACAGGGTCTTATAATTTTTTTTAAGCCAAAGACCCATTAAGTTGAGACCCAATTGTTGGGGGCAATGTCAATATATATATATATACATTGCCTTACTGGTGTACACCCGCTTAGAGAGTTCTTGCACTAAAGCGGTATATAAGTCTCTAAAATAAAATAAATAAATTTTCGGGGATGTCTTATTTTGCGCCCGCCCCTCTCAATCCTACCATCTCTTGCTCACAGCCGAGTGGCTTACAGGGCTTCCCGGGCAGACACACTTTTTTCGCCAGACAGAGAAATGACGGGAACTGGAAGCCTTTGTCACTTGCAAATGGGGTGCTTGGGGAAAATGGGCAATTGTTAGTGACAGATTTTATCTTCCTGGGCTCCAAATCCCTCAGACAGGACTGCAGCCAAGAAATTAAAAGACCGCTTTGCGCCTGGGATGAAAGCTATGGCAAAATCTAGATAGCATACTAAAATCAGGACCTCACCCTGCCAAGAAAAGTGCATATAACAATCCATGGTTTTCCCGGCTGCAATGTTGGCTGTGAAAGTTGGAACCCAAGAAAGGCTGACGCCAAAGAATTGGCCTTTGAACTATGGTGCTGAGAGACTCCTGCGAATCCCTTGGACTGCAAGCCGATCAACCGGTCAGTCCTAGACGAGAATCAACACCCAACTGCTCCTTTGAGGCTAGATTCTGAAGTTGAAACTCATTACTTTGGCCACCTAATGAGAAGGAAGGACTCATCTTGAGAAGGGCCTGATGCTGGGAAAGATTGAGGGTAAACAATAGAAGAAAGGAGGACAGAGAATGAGATGGCTGGATGGAATCACTGAGCAGTAAGCGTGAGCTTAAATGGACTCCAGAAGATGGTAGAGGACAGCAAGGCTTGGAGAGGAACATTTGTCCATGGGGTTCGCGATGGGTTGGACCCGACTTTGCCAACTAACAAAGCTTCGAGTCTCCCTCTGGGTGAAAGTGTGCGCAGAACAGCAGAGGCAGAGCATGGGTGAGAGGAGGAGGCATATTATCCGGATTGCCTGTCTCTCCGCCGTAGCTTGCAGCAGGCTTGCACAGTGGCACTGGCAGCAGGTTGGAGGCAGAGGCATGGGGGGAAAGGCAGGCGATCCCGTCACAATGCCCATCATCCATTCCCCTATCCTCTTGGCTTGCCTCACAGCCGGCACCGGAAATTTTCCTGCGGTCCCCCCACCGTGTTCCTCTGCCCTACCTGCTACCAGTGCCGCCATGCAGCCTCACACACGCCTCCCATGAGCCAGGAACTCCAGCACATCCGATCGCCTGCCTCTGCCCTCCTCTGCCTCCACGCTCGACTTATTGCGGCTGCCCCAAGGAGCCCCGGCGCAGTTGCTGCTGGACACTATCGGCCCTTGCCACCTCTTGTGCTGGCCACGCCCACCCCCGGCTTATTTTGGGGTAGGGCTTAGTATTAAGCCCACCCCCCCAAAAATTCAGGCTAAGCTTATTTTCCAGGGTGGGTGTTATTTTTGGGTATAATACGGCAAACTAACAACTTTCAAATTGCTAACTGTTATGATGCTGAGTGCGCCCACAGCTGCTGAGCTAAGATAGCCTCTTCCTCTGAGGGGAGAGGAAACCAACCCAACAGCACAGAAACAGCAAATTCAGACCCTAATTGACAAGATATTCTTGAAAACTGCAATAGAGGAAAGTCAAAAAATTTGAATGACGATTGACTGATTACAAGAGGCATTTTGACCTCCTGCCAATTGATTGAATAATCCAGTGCCTGGCATCAGTAGAAACATCAGAAGCTTTGTGCAAATTCAATTGCGACAATGAAGACACTTTGCGGGTCATGTGATAAACTGGTACAGTTAATATCAAGAGAAGACTCTTTCAAGAGACCTTGCTATCACCATGCTGTTTTGTCATTGCACTGATTCGTCTTTCAGAATACTGATAAATCAAACATCAGAACATAGAAGGAGCGGTTGCTGCATTGGTATGTCTAGTTTAAAACGAAGAGAGGGACAAGGGGGACATATAGCATCATTCCAATATCTCAGGGGCCCATAAGAAGAGGGATTAAAGCTGTTTTCCGAAGCACCTAAGGAAGGACAAGAAGCAATGGGTGGAAACTAATCAAGGAGAGAACAAACCTAGAACTAAGGAGAAACTTCTGACAGTGAGACAATTAATCAGTGGAACAGCCTGCCTCCAGAAGCAGTAATGCTCCAAACACGGAATGTTTAAAAAAAAAAGAAGAGACTGGACAGCCCTTTGTCTGAAATGGTGAGGGTTTTCTGCTGAGCATGGGGTTGGACTAGATGACTCCAGGTCCCTTCCAACTTTACTACTATTACTACTGCCAGGCTATCCCAACAAGAGTCTAGATCCGGGTTCTTCAACTTGGCTCTTTTAATTTATGACTTGTGGACTTCAACTCCTGGAGCGTGCCTAGCTGAAGAGTTCTGGAAGTCCCCAAGTCATAAAAGGGCCAAGTTTGAAGACCCCTGATCTAGATGAAGAAGATCACTGCAAATACCTGGATATCCTCCAAGCTCACAACATCAAACCCAGTGAAGTCAAGCAGAAGGTTAGAAATGAACACATCACTAAAGTGAAGAAGTACCATCAAGGCAATTAACACCTGGGTCATTCCAGTCATTAGATACACAGCTGGAAGACTGGACTGGACTGGACTCAGGCGGAAGTAAAAGCCCTGGATAGTAAGACCAGAAAAATAATGACAATGAATCATGCCCTTCATCCACGCAGCAATATTGACAGATTCTACTTATCAAGGAAAATAGGTGGGCATGGATTGTTGCAAGTAGACCAGACAGTTGAAAAAGAAAAAAGGAGATTGGAAGAATATCCAATACAGAGCCGAGGTGGCGCAGCAGTTAGAATGCAGTACTGCAGGCCACTTTAGCTGACTGTGTTCAGCAGGTCAGCGGTTCAAATCTCACCGGCTCAAGGTTGACTCAGCCTTCCATCCTTCCGAGGTAGGTAAAATTAGGACCCAGATTGTTGGGGGCAATGTAAATATATATATATATATTGCTTACTGGTGTACACCGCTTAGAGAGTGCTTGCACTTAAAGCGGTATATAAGTCTCATAAATAAATAAATAAATAAATATCTAAAGGACATGGAAGAAGAGGCACTGAAGCCAGTAAACCGTGTAGTAAACTGGAGAGATCAAGCTCACTTATAAGAAAAACCAAATGAAGAATGAAAAAGAGGCAAATTATTACATGGCCAGTACATAAAAAGAAAAAGCAGACAAAGCGAATAACAGTAAGAGCTAATAACGGCTAAGTCAGGAAAATTGAACAAAAAAACCGAGGGGCTAATTCTGGCAGCACAAGACCAAGCCTTAAGAACAAATGCATGCAAAGCCAAAACTGAGAAAACAGCAACAGATAGCAAAACTGAAGTAACGGTGGACCACCTTAATTGCTGCAAGAAGATAACATAGACCAGGTGTAGGCAACCTTGGCTCTTTTATGACTCGTGGACTTCAACTCCCAGAATTCCTGAGCCAGCATAGCTCAGCTTGGAAACCTCTCCCTTTCCCCTCAGCACAGCTGGCTCAGGAATTCTGGGAGTTGAAGTCCATGAGTCATAAAAGAGCTAAGGTTGTCTATCCCTGTACTAGATTGATAGCAAACCCCAGCTCCTCCGTCTGCATTGCCTGCTTCCCCTCGTCCATCTTTTAATCTCACATTACTATATGTTCATTGTTTATTTCATTGTTTATTTTATTGTTTTGTTATTTTGCTACTGTTACATTTACACTTCATTTTTCTGTTTTTATTGATGTAAGCCACCTAAGGTAAGCCCCACAGTGAGAGAGGCAGCCAATACATTCAACAAATAAACAAACAGGTCATCCAAAACAATTTTATGTTCTATAACAGGGGTGTCAAACTCAATTTCACTGAGGGCTGCATCAGCACTGTGGGGGTAACCGGGGGGGGGCAAAGTGGATGCAGCCTACTGGGTGGGCATGGCCAGTTCTACATCATTCGTGTCAAGGATGCCTATGGGGGCCTGGGCAGGAGTGGGACAGATCTGAGGGTCTCTGGCAGAAGGGGGTGGGACCAGGGCAAGTGCCAAGGCATGGTCCACCAGGGCAAGTGCCAAGATGGCCATCACAAAATTGTACATTGGCTCCCAGCTGGCCCTGGCCAGGGCCAAGGCAGCGGGGGCCGTTCCCTCACTGTTTCCAGGATGGCTTCGCAGGCCACATGAAACCACTTCGCGGGCTGCATCCGGCCCCCGGACCTTGTGTTTGACATGTCTGTTCTATAACAAAGGGAATATTGCATTTTTATAATTTAATTTTTTTTTGGTTCTCAGGCAATATTACCAAACAGGAACATCTAAAAATCCTACCGTCCTCTTTTACCTTTCTCATCCTCTGGATCCACTCCCAAATCATCTGCCACATAATATTCCCCTTTGGATAAACTGTCCAGTCCCCATAGATCAGGGATAGGCAACCTCGGCTCTTTTATGACTCATGGACTTCAACTCCCAGAATTCCTGAGTCAGGAATTCTGGGAGTTGAAGTCCATGAGTCATAAAAGAGCCGAGGTTGCCTATCCCTGCCATAGATGAATAGAACCCCCCACAATCTCCTTAAAGGAACCCCAGTATTTTATGCTCTGAGACTGTTATGCTAATCACGTTTTCATACAGGCTCTTGCAAACAAAACTGAAATGCAAACTCTAAACTCTGCTACTTCAGATGGCTAGTAACAAATTTCACAGGTTAGTAATTTTGATGGCTTTTTGCAAAAACCCCCCCACATATTTTCCCCCCGCCCCACCTTTCCCTCTTTTTCGGGATTGGATACCTCCTGGTGCTGTTGAGCATCCTGGGGACCGAACTGCCTGAGCTGTAGAGGCCACTGGCTTCCCAGATCAACTTCCTTCAAAGTCTCTTCCACTTGCACTTTCATGCAGAAATCCAGCTTTTCCCTGTCCATCCAGGCTTTCCCACTGATGTTCGGATCCATTTGGAGCATGGGTTCCCCTCTGGACCACCCAGAATTCTCCTCCTGCAGATCCTCTTTGTCTCTCCCCAGGGGGGCCTGGGGGTCTGTGGCATCTTCCTCCAAGGGAGGCAATGCTGAGGGAAGCTCAGCCACCCTTTTCAGGAAGTTCTGCAGATGAGAGTCCCAGCATTGGTGGATTTCCTCCTGTGACTCCAGCTTAACGTGGGATGGGCCGTTGCTGGTCAAGCAGTCCCCCGTGGTCCTGACTTGAACAATGACAGGGTCTCTCCCCTCATTCTCAGTCCCCGCTTCTCTGGGTACCACAAGCCTCTGTTCTGCCATCGTTGTTCCTCCCTGCAGTTCCGGAAGGGAAAAGGCAAAGAAGAAGGAAATATTAATGAAGGCCACACAATGTGTCAGGAATAGAAGGATCTTCTTCTATATCTCCAATATTCATTAGTTCTTTAAAATTTGCAAAAGATTCTCATTAGAATAAATTTTCCCTGATGGTATGTATAAATAAATAACCTGGAGTCTAGGCTCAGTTGAAGCCATGGAGGCTGATACTTCAATTATCCCAGTCTTCCTCCAATGTCACTTGGCTTTTCTCTTTCCCCACAGTCCTCAGGCTTCCCTTGCTTAGGATTGGGCTCTGCTAGTTTGGTGTCTTTATGTACAAGATCCTCTGAGCGTAAAATGAACCCCCCTTTATCTCTGGGGAAAACTGGCCTTTCAAAGGAGTATTAAAAACCTCTTTCTTTAATTAGCCCTTTAGTTTAGGGCCTGGTCATTCCACCCTACTCTTGCTTAGTTGCAAGTGAACAGCCAAGTTAAATTATTTCATATATCGCAGATACACACAGATAAGTCCTTGCTTAGCAACCACAGTTCAGACTAGTAACTCAGTTGCTAAGCATTGTGGGCACTAAGCAGAAAAAATAAAGAAATCACATGCCCATGACAGAGTGATGATGTCACTTCCCTTCCATTGTTAAAGAGAAATGGCAGGTTGCTAAGCGCAAGATCACAATTTGACTGCCAGCTTGTTGTGGGCTGGTGTGAAAAGACAGAAGGGGCCACTATGTGATTGTGGGACGCTGCGATAGTCGTAAATGGGAGAATTTAGTCACAAAAAACGCAAGACTTGGTCACAAAACTGGTTTTCTTTTCCCACTGTCCTAACTTTGAATGGTGGCTGCCCTAAGCATTATTCCCCCCCCCCAATTGGTCCTGACTCTCTGGGCATTTAGGAAACTCTTAAATGAGGGTCCGGCATTGGGGGGGGGCTCTTACAGGGGCTGAATTGCAGATTCTGCCACTGACTGATTTGTTTTGTTTTTAAATTGATTGTGAATGGATGAAATGGAGGGGCTACAAATCGACGATATAATACCAAACATGTGCCGGAGGGAAGGCTGCAAAGATCGTGAATGACAAGAGAGATGATTTATTTCCCCTCGCCCCCCCAGAATGGTCACTACAACGAGGCAGTTGTTAAAGGAGGCATGTCGTCCTCTGCTGGAAAAATCTGCCCGACAGTCAGGCACTAAACAGCGATCTAGCAAATTGATACATCCTGATAGTGACCGAACAACGATTGCTCTGATCAATTGAGGGAGGGGCGACCTCCACGACACTACAAAGGCTCCCCCGGGGCTCGTCTCAAGCCGCCAACCGACGGGGCCTGCTGCCACCCCGGCCGCTCTCCCCCCGCGTTGCCCCGCATGCAACTCCGCGAACCGGGATTGGTGAAAACGGGCAAAGGCGCAAGACCATCGCGAGAAGTTCCAGCTTTCCCCCATTCAAAAAAGCCACAGTCGGATCCAAAGAATCGGGGGGAGGGGATCAAGAGTCCGAGATCTCCGATCCAGGAGGGATTTCTCTCTCCCCCACCACCCCACCCCCAAAATAAGTGCAAAAAAGGCCTCTTGAACTGCACCTGCGGGGCAAAGGGCGAAGCCTCCGGGCTGCCATGCACGTGCGGGGGGGGGGGGTAGGAGCGGAGAAGGCAAACCAAAACGAGATCCCCTCCCCCGCCCGCGGCTGCTCCAGCGGCTCCCCGATCCGGAGGGGGGCCCCTACCTTCTTCCCCGGGAAGCCCCGATCTTGCCTGCCTGCCTGCCAGGCAGCAGCGCCCCTCCTCGCCCCGATCTGCTCGCCACGCTCCTCCCTCCCAGATGGGGCCGCAGCCTCTCCGCCCATCTCCGGACTGGGGGGGGGGGAGAGAAAGAGGCCAGGCCAGGGCGCCTCTCGGAGGCGGAGCTCAGGTTGCCTTTGCACAGGTTAAGCTGGGGAGGGTTGGTGCTTGAGAGAGCCTGTTGGGAGATAAATCCATTGCTTGCTAGTCTTGTGGAAAACGAAAGGCCTTTTAGGACTTCCAGAGGGTTTTTAGCAGAGAGATTTGTTGCGCAGGTTCAGATGCAATGAAGACAAGCAATTCTGAACCCCGAGGGCGGGTTCAAACTACAGTTTTATACTTTCCCTTTCTCAGGAACAAAGGAACACACGTAGAAATCTATACTGTAATACATTAGATTCATTTCTCAGGGGCACACAATGGAGAATCTGCTACATACGTTGTATCTGAAGGCAATGCGCATTTGGTTAGTCACGTATTGCTAACACAGCACATCATTATTTTAGTGATTTTTCATTATTATTATTATTCCACATTATTCTACATCAGTGTTTCTCAACCTGGACAATTTTAAGGCATGTGGACTTCAACTCCCAGAATTCCACAGCCAGCATTGGTTGAGAAACACTGTTCTACATTATTCTACCTTACTAGCAACAGAGAGAGAGGCCTGGCGGCTGAAGGTCCCTATCCTGCCTATCTGACACCTAGGGAGCAGGCTAGTGAAGGGAAGGACCAAGGGTGACACAATAGCAGTGTTCCTGTATTTGAGGGGCTGTCACAGAGAGGAGGGGGGGGGTCAGCCTATTTTCCAAAGCGCCCGAAGGCCAGACAAGGAACAACGGATGGAAACTTGATCCAGGAGAGATTCAACCTGGAAATAAGGAGAAATTTCCTGACACTGAGAACAATGGAACAGCTCGCCTTCCCCATGTTGTGGGTGCTTCATCACTGGAAGTTTTTAAGAAGAGACTGGGCAGCCATCTGTCAGAAATGGTATAGGGCAGGGGTGTCAAACTGCTTTCCGGCCGGATGCGTCATGCCGAAACCACACCCACCCCAGCTTCGGCAATGGGGGAAAAGTCCCATGGTGAGCTTGACACCCCTGGTATAGGATCTCCTGCTTAAGTAGGGGTTGGACTGTATGACCTATAAGGTCCCTTTCAATTCTGCTCTTCTATTCTATTCTATTCTATTCTATTCTATTCTATTCTATTCTATTCTATTCTATTCTATTCTATTCCATTCCATTCTCCAAAGCGCCTGAGGGCAGGACAAGAAGCGACAGATGGAAACTAGTCAAGGAGAGAAGCAACCTAGAACTAAGGAGAAACTTCCTGACAGTGAGAACAATTAATCAGTGGAACAGCCTGCCTCCAGAAGCGGTGAATGCTCCAACACTGGAAGTTTTTAAGAAGAGACCGGACAGCCATTTGTCTGAAATGGTGTAGGGTGTAGCAGGGGTTGGACTCGATGACCTCCAAGGTCCCTTCCAACTTTATTATTATTAGTTTCTATTCTAGTTTCTATTCTATTCTAATTTCTATTCTATCTCACCTATTTAAGGGCATCACCATCATCATCAATCATCATTTTAACCATTGTCTATTCACTGCAGGATGAAGGCCTCTTCCGCATGTTTCCAACCTATACAGTCCTGAGCTTTCTTTTGCCAATTGGGCCCACAACACTTGCTGATATATTGGTTTATCATAATATAAAATACAAAACATACGAAGAAAAATAAAGATAATGGGAAAATAGGGAGGGAGAAGGGGAAGATAAAGAAGTGCATGGAAGAGGGGAAAAAGAAAGAAAAGGCTTTGGCTTCCGACTCCTTTGAGTGCAGTAGAACAGTGTTTCCCAAACTTGACAATTTTAAGGCATGTGGACTTCAACTCCCAGAATTCCACAGCCAGCGTTGCTGGCTGTGGAATTCTGGGAGTTGAAGTCCTCATGCCTTAAAATTGTCAAGTTTGGGAAACACTGCAGTAGAATATGGTAATAACATGAAACCTCATTTTGTTTTACTTTTATATAACAATATATACTAGCCACTACTATAACAGCAAACCTATCTAATCAGCAAAACCCAAAGTCAAAGTTTCATTTTTTTTTCCACCACAAGCACAAAGTCCAAAAATGAAACTGAAACATCTGAGGATACTGTTGTCAATGGTTTTCCATTTTCAGTTATCTGAAAGATTAAAGGCTTATAGCAGTGATGGCGAACCTTTTAGAGACCGAGTGCCCAAACCACAACCCCAAACCCTCTTATTTATCGCAAAGTGCCAGGCCTGCATCAGCATTGTGGTGCCCTCAGGGGATGCATGGGGCGTGGCCCACTGGGTGGGCATGGGTGCAGTTGGGCATGGCCACCTCGATGTTGCTCATGGGGGAGACGTCTGTGGGAGCCGGGCAGGGTTGGGGGAGATCCAGGGAGTCTGTGGGGCAGTAGGCAGGAGGCCCAGCATAATGGGGAGGCACGCAATCGTAGCTGGGACTGGGGGACCATGGTGCCAATGGGGATCCAGCTTTCCCTGCTCAGGGTGGCCTTTGGCTTGCTGGGTGTGTACGTGCTCTACCACCTCTACTCGAGCTTGCTAGCTGGCCGCTTCACTTCTTTTGTGTTGGGTGGGGCTGCTGCTTCAGGTGGCAGCGGCAGCCTAATGGACCTGCGCAAACTGCTGGCAGCAGCGGTGGTGGGTGTGCCCACAGAGAGGGCTCTGAGTGCCGCCTCTGGCACACGTGCCATAGGTTCGCCACCACTGGCTTATGATAAGGAGCAAAGTTAGCCAGAATTTGAAGTTCAGTGGTGTATGGTGATGAACATGGAGTTGCCAAAGTGAACAAAGCCTTCCTGAAATTTAACCTGAACAGGTTAAAGAACGCCTGGTAAAAGTGTGCCAAAAATTTGGATTACACAGTAATATTTAGATGGATGAGTAGGAAATTATGTAGTTAAAAATATACATTGTATAAAAATATACATTGGGTTATGACTTCAAATAGATTTTCTATGATGAACTATTGTGGATACATGATGCCAGAGAAATTATCTATTCTAGAATATACAAAGGCACTTCAAATATGAACAACATTTTATCGCGCTTGGTTGTCATGTAAAAAAGCTTAAAAATTTGAATTCAAATACAATCTTTAATACAGAATGTTTTAAAGATGAATATTGAAGCCAGCGGCACTTTTCCTGTTAGGATTAATGGATAAACAGTCAGAAAAATGCCGTGGCAGATTATTTCAATAGATTATTTCAATACGATTACTGTGATGAGATTACTGTATGCCTAGAGATGGAAAGTTTTGACACTACTCAATGTAGAGAAATACCATAGTGAAGTTTACAGATTTTGCTGTAAAGTACCTATTATTGTAGGTACTAATACCAATAATTGCCTTGGGTGCAATCCTAAAACAACTGGAGCACCACTGGAACACATCAGTATTGACAAAATCCCCTTAAGTCAATTGCAAAAGGCAGCTTTACTTGGAAATGCCTACATCTTGTTATGAAAGCTGTAACATTAAGCTACAACTTGTCTATCCCAGGCCCTTGGGAAAGACCGGACAGGAGGACACAAATACCAAATACAGTCTAAATATCTGATTGAATATGCAACCAACCAATAAAATTATGTATTCACTGTATAAGTCAATTAAATCCCAATGATTCTGGGTGTTTATGGTAGCCTAGAGCAGTGGTTCTTAACCTGGGCACATTTGAATCTACTGCAGGGTGAGGATAATGAGAATATCTGAAAGGCAGATGTTGGGGAACATTGCATTAGATCAGGGGTAGGCAACCTTGGCTCTTTTATGACTCGTGGACTTCAACTCCCAGAATTCCTGAGTCAGCATGGCTCAGCTTGGAAACCTCTCCCTTTCCCCTCAGCGTGGCTGGCTCAGGAATTCTGGGAGTTGAAGTCCACGAGTCAGAAAAGAGACAAGGTTGCCTGCCTCTGATCTAATGCAATGTTCCCCAACATAGCCAAGGTTGCCTACCCTGCATTAGATCAATATGAGAGAGAAAAGATTTGCTTCTTATTGAAACAACCGACCAGCAGCTCTGATTATTTCTTTGTCATTCAAAAAACTTTTATATTCTAAAACAAAAGTCAAAGTTGCCTTCTTGGTTCATTTTTTCCCTTATCAAGCGATACTAATCTAAACAGAATACAGGTAATCCTCAACTTACGACAGTTCACGACAGTGACCATTCAAAGTTACAGTGGCACTGAAAAATGGGACTTACGACTGTTTTTCCACGCTTATGACTGTTAATGGCATCCCAACGGTCACATGATCAAAATTCAGACTCTTGGCAACTAGTTCCTATTTATGACGGTTGCAGGGTCCTGGTGTCATGTGATCCCCTTTTGCGACCTTCTGACAAGCAAAGTCAATATTGGAAGCCAAAATTCATTTAACAACCATCCTATTAACTTAACAACTGCAGAGATTCACTTCACAAACGGATCAAGAAAGGTCGTAGAATGGGGCAAAATTCACTTAACAACTGTCTCACTTAGCAAAAGAAAATTTTGGCTCAATTGGAGTCATAAGTCAAGGACTACCTCAGAGGTAGGCAACCTTGGCTCTTTTATGACTCGTGGACTTCAACTCCCAGAATTCCTGAGCCAGCATGGCTCAGCTTGGAAATCTCTCCCTTTCCCCTCAGCACGACTGGCTCAGGAATTCTGGGAGTTGAAGTCCACGAGTCATAAAAGAGCCAAGGTTCCCCACCCCTGCCCTATATCAGGGCTCCTCAACCTTGGCTAATTTAAGACTCCAGGACTTCAGCTCCCAGAATTCCTGAGCCAGCATGGCTCAGCTTGGAAACCTCTCCCTTTTCCCTCAGCATGGCTGGCTCAGGAATTCTGGGAGTTGAAGTCCACGAGTCATAAAAGAGCCAAGGTTGCCCACCCCTGGACTACCTGTATCTGAAAACTCTACCGTACTTTTCTGCTTTTCTAAATATTCTCCTTTGGGCAGCTGTCTGATCGCCATAGCAAGCCGAATAGAATAGAATTCTGCACAAACTCCAGGTTTTAGTAATTACAAAAATCCCAGTATCTATATGCTATATTTTTCAGAGGGATTAAAACTGAAACTATGATTCCTGCAACTGTATAGCTGGCTAGCAACTAGTTAGAGTTA